GTGGCTCATTCAGTAAATTATGTTCCAAGCACTGCAGATACAGCTGAGGACAAACTGAGACCCTGCCCCCTCAGGTGGCTCACATCCTGGTGAGATAAATCAAACAGAGGAAAATGCAGACCAGTTGTGGTGGTGGTGGTGGGGGGGTGTTAAGGAGGAAAACCAAAGCTGGGTGAGGAGGGAGAGGGAATGGTGGGCAAGAGCCCCTGGTCCGCAGGGCCTGGATGAGACCGCTTCTCTGGTGAGGACACATTTGAGCAGAATCCTGAAGAAAGAGGGGCCTTCCAGGGGAAGGGACAGCAAGCACAGAGTCCCCAAAAAGGGGAATCATGGGGGTGGTGTGTACTATTCTGAGGAATAGTAAGCAAGGGGAGGTTGTAGGAAAGAATTTAATCTCACCCCCAAAGAGTGGCTTTTGCCTTCTGCTTTTGGGAGGTAGTTACCAAGCTCTGCCAGGAGTGCCTGTTGGCCTGGGGCCCTTGCAATAACCTAACAATGTGATTTCAAGTAGGGGCATGGCGCCAGATGATATTCAGGCTGGAGCTGAGCACAAAAGAAAGACCAACATTGTGAAGAGGGGGCTGCAGACTGAGATCGCGAGGAGGACACTCAATTAATCACACCTGTGTGATGAATGCCAATAAAAGCTCTGAGCACCGGGCTCTGAGGAAGCTCCCTGTTGGCAGCACTGTGCAGGCCGTCCCTCATGGGTGCTGGAGGGGAGGCTTGCGTGCAGCTCCAAGGACAGAAGGCAGCTGACAGCTCGAGTGTGGCACTCCCCTAAACTCACTGCCTGGGTGCTTTTCCTGCAGCTGGTCTTAATCTGCATCCTTCCTCTGCTGTAAACTGTAACCGTGAGTAAACGGCTCTCTGTGAGTCCCTCCAGGAAGCTGTCAACCTGGGTCAGCTTGGGGACTCCCAAACCTGCCGTTGGTGTCAGAAGTGGAGGTGGTCCTGTGTGGACTGGTCCCTCCAAATATCGTAGTTGGCCAAATGCAGGGATAGAAGTAGGAAATCAGGAGGGACGGGGAGGTGCCAAGTCTTGGGGGGGCCATTGGAAGGACTATATTTTTTTAGTCTGGCACAATGGAAAGCTCCTGAAGTCTTTTGAGGGGTGACAGATCTGGCTTTTGTTCTCAAAGAGTCAATGTGTGAAGAGTAAAGGAGGCAACCCTTGCTGCTCACCTGTGGCAGTCATCAACATGAGAGATGAGAGTGGCCCAGGGGCTGGGTGCTGGTGGCAGGAGAGGGACCTGCTGAGGGGCCGCTGAGGAGCCACCATGGGGCGTGATGGGGAGAGCCGAGGTGAGGGGCTCGGAGGTTTTGGCTGGGCTGGAAGTTTGGCTGTGTCTTTTACTGACGTGGTGAGAGCTGTAGCTTGATTTAGGGTGCACTGGCTTTGAGGTGTCTCCTAGAGCTCCGAGGGTGGTTCATAGTGGGCAGATGGACTTGGAAGCCTGGGATTTGGGGGCTGCGGGTCCGTGCTGAGGCGCACCCTGGGAGGCATCAGGTTGTGTGGAGTGCTGCTTGACCACCAGTGAGACATGGCTGAACGCAGACATGACTTCTGGCAAGGAACAGGTGGAGTGGTTGTGGAGGGAGCCCGAGAGTGGGAGGAGCCCAGCTCAGCTGCTCCTGAGCAATTCTTGAAGAATTGGGAGAGAAGCGTGATGATGGAGAATGTGGATATGGAGATGACACTGTGTCTCCTATCCTGACGGGACAGCCCAATAAAGTGGGGATTGAGGACGCAGGAGAAAGAGGGCGATGTGACTGAAGCCGACCCGCCAGCATGCAGGGGGTGGGCCCCACACACAAGTGACATGCAGGTCTTAGAGGACAGAGCAATGTGTGCATGGTGGTGGGGGTGGGCGGGTGGAAGGTTTAGTGTGGAAGCAGCAAGGAATGTTCTCCTGCTGATGTTGACGTCTTCAGTAAAGTAGGACACAGAGGTACAGTACAGGCAGAGTGCGGGGGGAGGTGTGGAATGCTCTTCCCGGAAGGGGGGAATCTGAACAGCCACAACAGGCGGAGCAGGTGTAGGGTTGCCACAAGGACTGTTCTAGAAACTAGTCTCCCCAAGGGAAAGCATTTCTCCAGCCATAGCAGAGAGAGTCACATTTACCCAGGACCAGGGTTCGCCGGGCAAGTCTGTGATGTGAGAAAGGTGCTAAAGGGAGGTGAGCAGAGGGAGGAGGACAGCCACCAGGTAGGTAGGTGGTGAGGACAGTGGGTTGTGTGGCTCCCAGCGCAGGTAATGATGGCTGTGGTCCTGCTAGTGGTGGCCCAGAGTGGGCTGTTTGAAACTGAGCTTATGGAGGGTGGTGACAACAGCGATGAGGCAGTGGGTGGCCGACCGCAGGCCATGGTTGACAGATGCCTCATGAAATCACATAGAGAGTCATGTGCAGGATGTCGTCAATAAAATAAAACTGAAAAGGATGGACAATGTTAGGGCATTACACAAGAGTATATATTAAATCATGAAATTTTTCTCATATGTATGTGTACTAGATCAATGTAAAATTAGGGTTTTTTAAATTTAATTTATTATGTTAGTCACCATACTAACCTCATTAGTTTTTTTTTTTTTAAGATTTTATTTATTTATTTAAGAGGGAGAGAATGAGAGAGACAGCACTAGAGGAGAGAGGGTCAGAGGAAGAAGCAGACTCCCCGCTGAGCAGGGAGCCCGATGCGAGACTCGATCCCGGGACTCCAGGATCATGACCCGAGCCGAAGGCAGTTGCTTAACCAACTGAGCCACCCAGGCGCCCCTAACCTCATTAGTTTTTGATGTAGTGTTCCATGATTCATTGTTTGCATATAACACCCAGTGCTCCATTTAATACATGTCCTCCTTAATACCCATCACCAGGCTAACCCATCACCCCACCCCCAAAATGGGTTTTTAAAGCTTAAAATTTGCCATTTTAACTGTTCTTAAGTGTATAAAGCCACAGTGGCATTAGGTACATTTACACTGTTGTGCAATCATCCACACTATTCCCCAAATTTCTCATCACCCCAAATAGAAACTTTGTACCCATAAAATGTGTTCTTTACTGTGGTCATAGTTTAAAACATTTGAAAGGCACTGGTCAGTGATCAGGAAGGGGGTCCATCTTAGGGGTCATGCAGAGGACAAGATCCTTGCAGGAGAGGGGACACTGAGCTGACAGGCCAGGGCACTGGAAGGATCCTCCGTGATTCACATACATCAATTCCTTAGATTTTAAGGGAAAGATGTGTTTCTAAGAATGAAGCTAGGAAACACAATGCAAAGAACAATAGGAAATCTGGTGCTAAATTTTTCAAAGAATGAAGGAATCCAAAGAAACGGAGCAGAAATCATTGATGTGCCTGACCACCACATAGTTATTTGGGTATGTTAAGTTTAATATTATCTGCAGCCACTAAAATCATTCATTAAAAACTGCAATAAGCAAAAAATGCCCCTTCTCAAAGCAGGATACAAAATTATATTTGAATCACATAAAAAATTAGGATTTTTTTCAACAGAGAACTGGCTGAGAAAAGATATTTGCGGTAGCAAAAACAATAAAAGCTTAATATTTAAGACAATCTAAGGAATGTCTAAAATTCACAAGAGAAAGGAAATCCCCTAACACCAGTTGGAAACTGAAGATCTGAAAGTTGGAAATTGAAGATATGAAAGGCTTAATAATTAAGAGATGCTAAGGCTCATCTGAAAAACTCATCTTAAAAACGATCATGAGTTCCTACTTTGCACCAGGTTTGTAAAAGGAGGAGAGTTGGAGACATTGCTAGGAGAATGGCTAAGTTCTGACAAATGGACAATATCCAGAGACCTTCTACAAACAGTAATAAATCAGATGCACATCCAGAGACGCTGAGAGATCTTTACAGATACACGGCATTGCAAAAAAGAAACAAGATCTAAAGGATGCTAACATGTATAAAAATGTTACATACATTGTGACCTCAACACTGTGGTTTCTAAAAAATCATGTAATTTAAGAAACAACCTATAGGGGCGCCTGGGTGGCTCGCTCAGTCGTTAAGCGTCTGCCTTCGGCTCAGGTCATGATCCCGGCGTCCTGGGATCGAGCCCCGCATTGGGCTCCCTGCTCCGCGGGAGGCCTGCTTCTCCCTCTCGCTCTCCCCCTGCTTGTGTTCCCTCTCTGTGTGTTTCTCTGTCAAATAAATAAATAAAATCTTAAAAAAAAAAAAAAAACAACCTATAAAGAAAAGCTGTGGGACCAACAAAATAATGACATGAGAGTCGTGCGGGGAACGAAGTGTGGACGTAAAGATGGGATGGGCTGCCTGGGGGGCCGGGAGGGCCGCCTGGGGGGCCGGGAGGGCCACCCGGAGGATGGAGCTTCCTGTCGAGTCCGATTTGGGGGTTCTGGAGCAGAGGAGAGCCAGATGCAGATACAGAGGTTCTCAGGTAGAGCGGCTTGGAGAGTTCGGGGAGGATGGTCGGAGTGGGCGAGCACGGAGGACCCCATATTCTGGGGACCGAGTCTGCGAGTGGTCCGGCCAGGGAAACCCAAGTCCCGCGCACGGCCGACCCATGCGCCCCGCTTCGGCCCCGGAAGCTGTGGGCCTGCCGTCCCTCAGCCGATCCAGGCGTGCGGAGAGAACGAGTGACCCGCGGGTGGGGGAAGCCTGCGGGCGAAGACCGAGAGCTGAGAGCCCCAGTCGGCCATCCCGCGCTTGCGCACTGCGATCCTCTTTGAGCCCGCCCCACGCCCCGCCCCGCCCCGCGGGGCCCCGCCCCCGAGCCTTTCAACTCTCATAGGCTGGCTCCGAGGCCGCGCTCGGCAGGCCGACCAATGGGAGCGCGGCGCGCCCCGCGGCACGTGCGCCCCCGCCCAGCCCGGCCGAGTGCGAGCCGGTCGAGCTCCGGGGCGCGGAGCGCGCGGGGAGGGAACGCGCGGGCGGGGCGGGGCGCGGGGCGGGGCGCGGGCGGGGCGCGGGCAGGGCGGCGTGCTGATTGGCCGACGACGCGTTCCGAGGCCGTTAACGGCGGCGCGGCCGGGCCGCGGCTCCAAAACAAAGGGCAGGCGGCCCGCGGGGCGGCGGCGGGAGGATGCCTCGCGCCCTGCCGAGGCGCCAACGGCCGCAGCGCGTCCCGGGCCGCGCCGGCGCCGCCTGAGAGCCGAGCCCGCGCTGACCGGGGCCCGGGCCGGATGGGCGCTGCGGGCCGGGGCGCGGACCGCCGAGCGGCCGTGAGTACGGGCGGGCCTGGACACTGTTGCGCGGGCGGCTACTTTGTGGCGACCCGAGGCTCCTGCGACTGCGGGCGGGGCCGGAGGCACCTGTTGGGCGTCCGGGCCGGCGGGCGGGGCGCGAGCGGGCCGCACCTGTGGATGTTTTTGTTCTGATTTTTTGTTGTTATTTGGCTCACTCCTTGTTGGAGCAGACCACAAAGCCTAATCTTTGATTTTGCCCCCCTTTCTTCCCTTCCCTGCCTCCTCCCCACTTCAGCCACGAGAATTACAGAGAGAATCAACTAGATGCCTGATGATAATAGGCTGTTTTCCTCTTAAAAAAAAAAAAATGTTGCGACCGGGGAGGGAAATGAGGACAAAAGAAGGCTCCTAGGAATGTTTACTAAGAGAGGGGGATGTTTTCAAGTAGCCCACATAAAGATCGTGACTAAAATGAATTGTCCTCCGTATCAGTTCCCTGCTTGTAGCACTAGGCTTTTATTAAAGCACAGCTTGCAAAAGCCATAGCTTGGGAAACCTGCTAAGTAAGGTCCCCCTCCCCCAGGCCTGCCTCTGATTGACATCTTTGATGCCAGATAATGTACTGAGTTCCAGGATGGAGAAAAAAGGGGGGGGGGCTGTAATTTCATTTTGGAAAGATAATGGCTTTGGAAGACATCAGTTTCCCCACCCCCAAGCTTTTTTGTTCAGTTGCATTTCTTTTTCCTCTTTCTAGCCAGATCATACACTTTAACCTGTTGTTTCCTTTGCCAAGAATGTTATTCTTTCCACCCACCTCACTCCTAAACTCCTACCCAAGCCTCAAGAGGAGGTTTACCTCCTCTAGGGAACTCTTCCAGGTGCTTCACCTGAGCAAGCTGCCCCTCTCCCACCTGTGCACCCTCCAGCCTCTGCACTGTTCTAGTAGATGAGTCCTTGCTCCGTTCCAGGAGCTGTACTGGATGCTGGGGTGGTTGACTTTTGCAGTCGTGTATTGGATCCCCCCTACCCCTAGCCCCAGGCTCTTGGGTGACAGTAGTGGCACACTTGAGGAATGCTAATACTGAGGCTCTCCTGGACCGTTATGCTCCCTCCGTTTGCATCTCACGGGGGTTAGAGTGTCTTCTACTTGCAGGAACCTCCCAGAGGTAGGACCAGAACAAAATCATCTCCTACCACAGACCTGTAGCTTGGGGTTTGGCCTCTACTGGGCACTTAAGAAAAAAAAAAATAATAACTGAATAATCTTAATTACCAATCTGAACAATAGCCTTTGCTTTTTTTCCCCCTTTTTTTTTAAAGATTTCATCCTTAAGTAATCTCTATACTCAATGCAGGCTCAAACTCACAACCCCGAGATCAAGAGTCTCATGCTGCCCCAATAGCCTTTGCTTTTTATTTTTTTATTTTTATTTTTTTAAGATTTTACTTATTTGAGAGAGAGAGAATGAGAGAGAGCACGAGAGGGAAGAGGGTCAGAGGGAGAAGCAGACTCCCTGCTGAGCAGGGAGCCTCATGTGGGGCTCGATCCCGGGACTCCAGGATCATGACCTGAGCTGAAGGCAGTCGCTTAACCAACTGAGCCACCCAGGCACCCTAGCCTTTGCTTTTTAAACAAACTTCTTGTTTTGGAATAACTTTAGATTTCCATGAAAGTTGCAAAGATAGCGCAGACAGTCCCAATATGCCCCACGCCCAGTGTTCCCCGTTGTTAACGATCCTCCACTGCCATGGTGCATTTGCCAACATGAACAACTGATATGGAGACATTCTTGTAACTGAAGTCCAGACGTTAAATCTTACCATTTTTGAAGCACTGGAATGTGTAAAGCTCTTTCTGTTGGAAGCAGTGTTCCTATAAAGTCTGTTCTGGATTTCCTGCCTGTCGTCCCTAAGTTTCACAAGGACCCAGTGTCCAGGGGGCAGGAACAAGAGTGGAGAGGGCAAGGGACTGCCATAGAGTTTAAATGTATTTTTTCCCCCTGGGAGACTGATAAATGGAAACTAGAATACGAAGAAGCAGTATTCTTAGTCTGTAGCATAAATAACCACTTCAGCCTCACAGAGCTGTTCTGACGCAGAGCTGGCGAAACCAATCCCCAGCCGCTGGGAATGCTTGAAATGCTGAGGTCAAGTTGCCAGTAGAATCTGCCTGGTTGGTTAATGCTAGGAAGATACAAAATTGGCATTTCAAGAAGCTACTTTGCTAAACTTGAATAACACAGATTCTGTTCACCTGGGAGCCCCAATTCAAACACAAAGAAGTGAGGAAATCCCTACTGTTAACTAAGCCCATTTTGCCTATTTATTGCTATCCCTTTTAATTTGTGAGGGCACGTCAGACTGCATAGTGACATCTGTTCTCAACTTGCTGGGTGTTTGATTTTTGCCTTTTCCACATGTTCTTTTAGATCTAGGTGCCTGATGTAACTTCAGTAGCGACTCACCTACATTTGTAGAAAATATGAAAACTTTGAAAAAAAACAATAGAAATCCTTTCAGACCATTCTCTGATGCGTTTCATTTGAGTTTAATTTGGTTTTACATTTGTAGAAAAGTAGTTAAATCTGCTAATCAGCAAAACCTCTAGGGAGTGGAAATTTTGACATGAGATTTTGGGGGAGGTTGGGAGAAAGTTCTAACCAACCGAGAGATGGAGGGCTAAGGGTTCTGGGGAGGACAGCATGAGTTGGATTCAGAAAAGAAGTCCCCATTCCTCCTGTGATAGAAACTCTCTGAAAAGCTGTCTGCTGGTGATAGTGAAATGAAAATCCTGGAGCCAACCCACTGTCATCCACACCCGGGGAAGGGGCCCTTAATCTGGCACCTGAAGAGCCTCGGGACTGGGACCAGGACTCCCGGTGGGGCTTGCGAGGTGTGGACATGCGCTTGCCAACCTCTGTCCCTCTGACATGACCTCTTGCGTGATTGTCTGGACCACCCTGTGAATCGCAGTTTACCCACATTTTACAGATAAAGCAACAGCTTGGCTTGAGGTTCCACGCCACCAAACACGAGGCAGGGTTTGAGTCAAGTGCTCTTGCAGCTGTGTCCGCCCTCACTGCCGGCAGCCTGTCTCTTGCCAGACCTCGCCTCCTGGCTCCCTTGTGCTGTCACGTGGCTTCCCGGTGTTGGCACTCTCACCCCCGAGCACTGGCCCCCTTCGATTGCTCTTTGCATCTCTGGTTTTTCCTTCTCTTGCCCCAACGCAGGCCCTCAAATGTTAATTATGTCCTTTTTAGCATGTGATTAAATAATTATAGGTTAAGATTCCCACCTTCTGTCCTTCCATCAGCCTTCTGGGTCCTACCCTTTCAAATGAGAAGGGCAGTGGCATGTGGGTAGCTAGCTCCTTGGTCTCTCCCCCTGTTGATAGCAAAGCCAGTAACCTTTGCTAGGAAGTGTCCCTAGGCCCTGACTCTGGGGAACTTTGTTACTAGTGGGAGAAATACAAAGAGTGTGTTACAGGTTGTTGGAAAAGAAGAGCTCCGTGCAAACACATTAATCAGTCTTGCAGACAGGTGGTAGGACTGAAGAAATCTTGCCCCTACCAGTGGGCCTGCTGATCACCACGCCTGCAGTTCCTGAAATGTGTGGAGAAAAGCGTTTCATCCTGTAATTCCAGTAAGAAGGCAGACCTTGTGTGTGTGAAGGGAAGCTGGGTCTGCCAAAGGCAAACTAGACTCCTGCTATCGCCCTTTGACATGAATCCTTCCAGGCCTTTACATGCCCGTGCTGTGTGTGTGTGTGTTTGAATAGTCAGTACATACATTCGGTATCAAAAATCTAAGGTTACCGGGACGCCTGGGGGGCTCAGTTATTAAGCGTCTGCCTTGGGCTCAGGTCATGATCCCAAGGTCCTGGGATCGAGCCCCACATCGGGCTCCCTGCTCAGCGGGGAGCCTGCTTCTCCCTCTCCCTCTGCCTGCCACTCCCCCTGCTTGTGTTCCCTCTCTCGCTGTCTCTCTCTCTCTCTAATAAATAAAATCTTTTTTTAAAAAAATCTGAAGTTACCAAAAACCAGCTGGTGAAAAGGAAGTCCCCCGTGCTTCCTAGCCCCCAGCTGAGGTCCAAGGGTGTGCGCCCCGGAGCGCTGGTAGGTGTTACCAGATGGCTACATCCCAGCCAGTCCTCGCCAGTGGTGGTATCAACTTTTAAAAATCTTCGCCCACCTGCTAGGTTGTCAGACCTACCAGACTGCCTTTAATTTGCATTGATGAGTGAAGTTCACACTGGTTCATGTGTCTGCAGGCACAGTGGTCCAGGGCGTAGACTCTGGCTTTGAATCCACAGCTTCCTAGCTCTTGGCCCCAGTTTCCATATCTGCACAGTGGGACTAATAAGAACCCCCACCTCTGAAGATTGCTGCCAGTTCATTTGGTTCTCGTGGAATCAGCTGCTTAGAATGGCGTCGGCCTGGGCTGGGGGTCTCTGCAGAGCCCCCATGTTCCCTTTTCCGTGGAGGATGTGGAGGTCCCTGCTCGAGCCACCCACCTGGGGTCCCACTTGCACCATGAACTCTGGCTGAACGCTTTGTGTGCCTGGTGCCTCTTTCCTCCTCACGGGGGAAATGGAGGGCTGGGACTGAGCCTATCTGCCAGGTAGTGGTGGTGCGGGGAGGTGGCGTGGGGAGTAGAGAGAATAGGTGTCCCAGGGTGTGGGGCCCTCGGGAGCCTCCACTCCAGCCCAGAAATGTCAGAGCTGCTTGGTTGGGGCTTTATTTCTCAATGTTTTTGTCTTTAGAAGTGTGGTAACAGCACCATATGGACATGGGCCTGATTCACGTTCTCTTAAAATAATTATACATGTTTATTTTAGGAGAGAAATTTCTGGAATCCAGAATATTGTTTTTGCTCCAAAAAATTACCCCACAGTAGTATCTTCTGGGGGGATGGTTGCTGCCCTCCAAACCTAGGGGAAACATAATGTCCTGTAATAAACATGATTGACTGGATCCGTTTGCCTTTTGATTACTTCACAGCGGCTCCTAACTTGCCAGTAGATCCTGTTGTAAAAGC